GCATAAAGCAGAGTCAGTAAACCGCTGTGCTTCAACAAAGAACAGCAAACACACACTAGATTCTCATGGTCCTCAGGAATGTCAGTCAGGCGAACACGTTTCTGTATTACGCAGATACAGCGGTGTTAAACATACACACACAGTTACACACATAAGCTCAATTAGCTTAAGCAGAAGCGGTCAGGACAGCAGATGACAGTGGGAGGTCAGCACTAACAGCACTCTAGCATTAGCTCTCTGGCTGCGCAGCTGCAGCGACGGTTGCCTGGCAACACACGAAATCCCAAGAGCCTCTACTGTAGGGTATTTCACTGGCGCAGAAGAAGCAGAAAACTGAAGAGTAAACCATGCTACTAGTGCAGCTCTGTGTTTAAATATATGTCATTTAGGACTGATGATTGATGATCCTCATTACGTGATTGTTATGTACTGTACTTCATTCAAGTCCACATCAGATTCTATTGCTAATTTTCTTCTTTGTCAGCTTTTGTGCCACCTGCTGTATATTAATATGTCAAATTTAAGGGAGATGTTGGCCATGAGATAATGTTGCCTTTTAGATTTTCTGAACCTTAAAATGACAACACTGTCATCTTAGACCTTTAAAAAGCACATCTCTGTCACTTCTTTACATTGAGTCTACAGAGAGCATCAGGGGTTTTCATGGAAACAGTCCCTGGAGCTATATACATGCTCACACACACACACACAAACACACACACACAGAGAGAGAGAGAGAGAGAGAGAGAGAGAGAGAGAGAGAGAGAGAGAGAGAGAGAGAGAGAGAGAGAGAGAGAGAGAGAGAGAGAGAGAGAGAGAGAGAGAGAGAGAGAGAGAGAGAGAGAGAGAGAGAGAGAGAGAGAGAGAGAGAGAGAGAGAGAGAGTAGTAAAGAGTGGGTAAAGCTGTCACACACAGGGTAGAACAGAAGCAGAGAGGTCATGTCATGTTTATGAATGAGACGCAGAAAAGGATGTGGGAGATGCAGAGGTGTTGACTTTCCCACACAGGCCAGCAAACACATGTTAAAAGAACAGAAAATTCACTCAGAATATGGGTAAAAAAAAGAGACCGAATGAGAAACTATTCAAAATATATACAAATAAAGTAAAATAATAATACATACATTTATAGGAATACATATTTTCTAAAAAAACAACAACAAATAATCACATTAAATGAATAAAATAAAAAATGTAAACAGTTAATTGACCTGTGGGATATCTGCTGTACTAAAATGAAAAAGATTAAAGTAAAATAAATTAAAGTCTATAATTAAATTAATTCATTCCTTTTCCTTTATTAATCAGCGGTCACTACAGCGGAATGAACCGCCAACTTATCCAGCATATGTTTTACGCAGCGGATGCTCTTCCAGCTGCAACCCAGTACTGGAAAACATCCATACACACTCATTCACACACATACACTGCGGACAATTTAGTTGATTCAATTCACCTATTTTGCATGTCTTTTCTCTGTGAGGGAACCAGAGCACCCGGAGAACATGCAAACTCCACACAGAAATGCCAACTGGCCCAGCCGGGACTCAAACCAGCAACCTTCTTGCTGTGAGGCGATCGCGCGACACACTGCGCCACCGTGACGCCACCCATAAAACAATTTATTTAAAATAATAAAAAAATTATATTAAAACTAAAACAAGTTCAGGATGAATACAATAATATCTGAAATATAGTCATAGAAAAACAATAGAAAATGTACATTTTCACTTATAAAAAAATGACCAAAAAAAATACAATTCAATGATAGATTATCACTGTCAGCTTCTTCTCTGATGTCACTTCCGAGTCATAGTCTTAAACGTGTAATGCTCGCATTTTAAGTGAAATTTGATGTGACAGCACTGACAAAAACATGGCGACAATTGTACATTTATTTGTAGTACATATTTGTAGCATTAATTCATCTATTTTCTTTTTGGCTCAGTCCCTTTATTAATCCGGGGTCGCCACAACGGAATGAACCGGCATTTTATCCGGCATATGTTTTACGCAGCGGATACCCTTCCAGCTGCAACCCATCTCTGAGAAACACCCATACACTAAGGACAATTTAGCCTACCCAATTCACATGTATAGCATGTCTCTAGACTTGTGGGGAAAACCGGAGCACCTGGAGGAAACCCACACCAACACAGGGAGAACATTCAAACTTCACAGAGAAATGTCAACTGACCCAGCCGAGGCTCTAACCAGCGACTTTCTTGCTGTGAGGCGACAGCTCTACCTACTGCGCCACCGCTTCTCCCAATTTGTAGTATTTATTTGTAGTATTAATTTATAATTTTGTGTTTTTAATCAATTGGTGGGATCGATAGCAACTTAAACTTGCTATTTTTGTCAAAACTATTACAGCTGTAGGTTCAATGAAGACAAGGACAGTGAGGGTTTGTACATTTGTCAAGAGTTTTAATAAAGAACAAACATCTGAGAACCAAATGACTGACATATTCCTTTACAGAACAACTCACAGAAATCAACCATTTTAGAAAATTTTGGGATGAAATTATTTTTATTAACTGTTTTTATGTTTTTATTTCAGGGACAGATAATGTACGTTTCTGGTAGAATGTCCCAATTACACATAAAACAATTAAAAATGAGAAATGGAAAAAGTGTGAATTTTTTTATATTATTAATGTGAATATTCGCCTGTCAAGCTAATAAAAAGATTTTTATTTTTTGTAAGATAATTTGAAAATAAATAACCAAAGTTAAACTTAATAAGTTTGATCATAAATTGTAATATACTACTAATAATAAATAATAATATAATGCATTAATAATAATAATAATAATAATAATAATAATAATAATAATAATAATAAAATAATAATTGCAAAATGCAGTAAAGCATGATGATCTTGACCAATTGACAATTTGCATAACCAATTTACCATATATCATCTTTTTCTAAAGAGTTAAGAAGTGTAAACTACTAAAAATTGATACAAATAGATTTTTTTTTATTTTAATTTGTTATTATTATTATTTTTTATTTTTTATTATTTTTTTGCATAAGAACAATAGCATACAAAAAATGAGGAATACGATGCTTAATAATGAAACAGAACTTTCCCAGGTTTCCCAGTAATGGGTTGCAGCTGGGAGATCATCTGCTGCGTAAAATATGTGCTGGATAAGTTGGCGGTTCATTCCACTGTGACGACCCCAGATTAATAAATGGACTAAGCCAAAAATAAAATGAATGAATGAATGAACTTTCCCAAGCCTAGGGTCTTTCGTCTTTTAAGTCATCTACACAGCCAATCTAAGTATCTGTGTCTGCTCAGAGTTCAGTGTAAAGAGGGTATGCCACATTAATCCTTGTGTTTTGCTCAAACAGACTACCTTTTTGTTATGTTAGTGGCTGTTTTTGCCCCTTCCATTATAACAATATTTTTTGATTGCAAAGCCTTGACACCATATAATCATGCATTCTTGATTGTTGGTGGTTTTCCCTGTTGGGAAGAGGTCAAATGTGTCCTTTTTACTGTTGATCATCATTAACCTTTCAGATAGCCCTGGGCAAAAAAAAGTTTCTGGCATTTATATGGCGTTCTAGGGGGTAAAACAGAAGATATTAGTGTGTGTGCATAAATACACTTACTATGTTTACTATGTTCTGAGGTGCTTATTTTTTATTTTTTATCAAACATATCAAGTGCATAGGTCTATCTTAAATTCTCTCTCACACACACATACACAGACATTGAGAAAGCTTTTTTTGCACTGTAAGAGATGATAAACAGTAAAAATACAAACCGAACCTCTTCCCAAGAAGGAGAACCACCAAGAATAAAGTATGCATAATAATATGGTGGCATGGCTTTGCAATCAAAAACTGTTGTTATAATGGAGGCTAATGGGGCAAAAAAGCCACTAACATAACGACAGGGTAGTCAATGCCCACAGTGCATTGTTGAGTTTTTATTGCATAACAAGAACAACAGCATGCAAAAAAAAAAAAAAGAGGAATACAATGCATACTGATTTTTTTTAATCAAAGGAACAAATCAGTAGAGAATTAAAAAAATACTAAAATAATAAATAAATAAAATTACAGGGGATTTATAATTGCCAAAAATGTATCATAAGATAAAGATTCCAAAATTGCATACATCCTTATAGCTTTTTATTTTTTGTGTCTTCTAGGGTTTCTAAATGCTTAAGATCAGTTTTAAACAAATACATATTGGGCTTATCATTGGACCATTTTTGTTTGTGTACATGGTACTTTCCATTTATTATCATTAAATTAATAAACAAATTTTTTTCCAAAGTTTTGATATTAATGTCAAAAATATCTTTAAAAGAAAACTACATTTTTAATTTTGTAAGTTTAAATATAAGATATTCAACATCCACCCAATACATTTGAGTATATGTGCATTCAAAAACAGGTGTTTTATCGATTCCTCCCAAACACAAATTGATTAGCATACGAAGTCTCTAGTGTGGGTGACGTCATTGTTAATTATCCGAACTGTTATTTTTACTTTCTCCTTTAACTGTTTACCGCAGAACTGAGCTCGTTTCCAAATTGATGAATTCTGTACTGTTACTGAAAATTGATCATTCATTAGGCCTGCTGTTTTGCCCGTTTATCTCTTTATATCTGCTTTGCTACAATTTGCACAGTCAATTTGCATCCACTTTGAAAAATAAAGGTGACTTGACTGATTTAAGCAAGCCTATTTTAATGTTTGACGCAGTTATGTGATGTAGTTATGATATCAGGCAGAGCGTCAGATTAAGACATGTCTTAGTACTATTTTCTTGTTATTTTACATTATAATATTTTTCAATGCGTACGTTATTAACCACGGAATCAAAAGCCAATGTAATGCCACTATACGAGCATCCATAACACCGACATTAGTGAAACAAGACTGAAATCAGTTCGGCTCAAACTCTACATGACGTGCAGAAAGGGTGTAATGCAGTTTCGCTATCAGTCATGAATGCCTTTGACTCACCTGTGATGATGATGTCCGACAGGATGAATAAAGCAGCAGTATGTGCTCGTCTTTCACTTTCTGCAGACGGCGGTCATCGTGATGCTCGCTGAATTACGCGTTTAATCCATCGGTGCTCAAATTATCACGAATTTCTCGTCTCATTTACCACACTCAGACACACACCTGATAACACAGCAACCAGTGAGTCTAACAGGACAGCGATGTTATTACACGAAACACTTTGAGCCAGACCACCTGCTCGGTTAATATGTAATTGCCTGATAACTAAACGAAGATTTGAGTAGCCGCTTTACATCACGTATGTGACCTGCGGCGATGCGCTTTTGTTGTATTGAGATGCTTTGAGTCTTAAAGGGGAAACGCACTCCACGCCTCTCTGCGGACCCCACCGAATTACTTCTGCCACCCTGTGTTAAACTATCGAGACCTTTACAGCTTTAACAACCATTCATCATATTCCGCAATCTCTACGTCTTTACATACTATTAAATGTTTAAGTGTTCTGTTAATAACAACCATATCCTAACCTACAGACTACAGAACACACTGTTACACCAGAATGTTAGCTGTTTTCCAAAAATACCTTTGATAATAAATAATTAGTTACCTGAAAAAAATCCTCATTTTTATAATAAATTTAACGAGCTGTTAGCAATGTTTTCATCTTAATTTACATGATTTAATAAAACTATTTTAATTTGACGTTATTTATGAACGTTAGGCTACCTATTTAAAGCTGCTACACAATTAGTTTGATTTTGTATTTAATTAATGGTATCTGAAAACATCTTGTTTACCTTACATTACAGCAATAGACAACTAAAGTTTTAAACTGTGATTCGATGATGATGGACAAAAAGAAATGAAAAATTAAATGTCCAAAATTTGTTGAGTCCCTCCATCTAGTGGTGTACCGTACATACATACTTAGTCTACTACACAAACTCTCTTTCTTTGTTTGAGAATAGGTTAGGGGCCACATGTAAGAATTTTAATCCATCAATAGTTTTTGTTTTATGTGTATTGCAGCTAGTAATGAAACAGAACTTTCCCAGGTTATGTTCTTTAGTCTTTTAAGTCATCTACACAGCCAATTTATGTATCGGTGTCTGCTCAGAATTCAGTGTAAAGAGGGTATGCCACATTAATCCTTGTGTATTGTTCAAATAGACTACTCTCTCGTTATGTTAGGGGCTGTTTTGACCCCTTCTCAGGCCCGGATTGGCTAATCGGGAGGACCGGGAGAATTCCCGATGGGACGGTCCATTTTTTTGACCACGAGGGCCGGTGTCCTTAGCTGCCTGCACTCTCAGCAGTCACACTTTTTTCATTTATTTATTTATTTGACCATAGCCTCACTCTTTTTATATTTTACTGCAGCTCCGCTGTTTTTATTTATTTTCTCACCGCCCCGTGAGCAAAATGCAGCCTGCAGGTTAAAAAGGGAGAAAAAGATTAAGCCATCAATAGAAAGTAACACAATGGTTAAAAGAGTCTTGCGGATAACAGTGCAATACGTGTTTTATTCTTTATTCCAAAATCATTTATCTTGACAACACCTTTGACGACGCGTCATTTATAATGCTGCCGACCCAAGTTCGAACCTCACCTAAGTAGTTTTTTAATTTTATTTTAGTATCAAGACATATAATACTGTTTGGGTTATTTATATTGTACATACTTTAATTTTTTGTGTGACCACCATTACTAAGGACTAGATATCTATAAAAAAAATTTTGCAAATCCAGATATTCAGATATTGCAGGAAAGGACATTGTGATGTTTGAAAGATCAGTGTTGGAGATTTAGGCCGTACTCACACTATGTACAGTAGCCTTAAACCGGGCCAAAGCACGCTTGTCCCCCCTTCCATCTCCCCCGACGGCCTGCACTCACATTACATTCGGGCCTGGGCACGCTTACGTCATCGACGCCGTGCTGTTCACTAAGCGCTCTCACTCAGCACAGAGGAGATTTCTTTAGTTAAATCATTTAAGTCGTTTAATATGCAATGATACGCTTTGAAATATTTCGCCGAACAGATCTGCCCCTTTTGACGCTCATAAGCAACCATAAAGTCCTCGTGCTGCAGGAATTAGGAGGTTTGCTGAAGGTGCGCAGCTGTCATGCAGTGAGGGGTTTGCGTCTTTAATAATCTACAACAGATTGCGTTCACTGAACAGTAAGAATGATTAATAAATCCATATGAAATAGTCCCTTAAAAGTCACATCTCGTCTTCAGTGTCAGGCTCAGGTGCATTTTTGCACTCACACACAAGCGTACCGTGTCAAAGCCCAAGTGAACCACACTCAGGGCCAGGGCTGGCCAAGTGAACCGTGCCTGAGCCCAATTCAGAGCACTCACACTCCTTAAACGATCCAGGAAACGGGCCTGGGCACGGTTCGGATAGCATAGTGTGAGTAGGCCCTTAGCTAGCCTTTAATGTTCTCAAAAAACATTTGAAGTTCTAAAGCAGCTGTTTCCTTGAAAAAGACGTGATAGTGTCATTAGAAACTAAATTGTAAAAGATGTTATTTTAACATAGCCGTGAACTGAGGTGGGCCAGTCTAAGGCTTAAAACTCCAGGGCTGAAAAGGAGTCTCACTATGGCCCTGCACCTTCTGTCATAACAACATTTTTTTGAGCGCAAAGCCTTGACAACATATAATCATGCATTCTTGATTGCTGGTAGTTTTCTCAGTTGGGAAGAGGTCAAATGTGTCCTTTTCACTCTTCATCATCAGTTGGCAGCATTAATCTTTCAGATAGCCCTGGGCAAAAAAAGTTTCTGGCATTTATATGGAGTTCTATGAGGTAAAACAGAAGATTAAAGTGTGTGCATAAATGCACTTACTATGTTTACTATGTTCTGAGGTGCTTATTTTTTATTTTCTCAAACACATCAAGTGCATAGGTCTCTCTAACATTGTCTATCTATCTAACACACAGACATTGAAAAACTAAGTTTCTTTTTGCACTTTAACCAATGATAAACAGGAAAAAATACAAACTGAACCTTTTACCAAGAGGGAAAACCACCAAGAATAAAGTATGGATAATAATATGGTGTAAAAAATTGTTGTTATAATGGAGGCTAATGGGGCAAAAACAGCCAATAACAAAATGAAAATAAAAGTCAGTTTGCCCACAGTGCATTGTTGAGTTTTTGAAAAAATCCCAAACAGTTTCCCAAAATATGATCAAAATAAAATTTGTCACCGAAAATCAGTCCATTTGCAGGAACAGAGAGAAGGGTCTGGATGCAGACCTGGTGCATTGCAATCTGAGCTGCATGCAATGCTTTTTAATCCACTCACCTAGCCCCACCCCTAACCCTCACAGTGACACCTGTAGCTCCATTGACTTCATTGTGTTTGACATGGCATTACTGAGATTTGCAGTCTCAACTTGCATCATCCAGGCTGCATCCAGAAACTATAGGAGACAGAGAAAGTTGTGGCCAACTGTGGCCTCAAAATCCCTTCAGTGTGGATGAAAAAGTCCCCGGCAGCACACAAGGGTTAAATGGTTTCTGTAAAAACACATTTCTGAAAATCAATGCTACTTTAGTTTTGTTTTCTGTGTCTCCTTTGCGGTGTAAAGATGCTTTTTTATTTTACATGAGAACAAGTGCAAGCATGAGTAAAACATTGTTGTTTGCAGTTCTATTTCCGCCCACTGGTGTCGCTAATGATGACGATATATGTACTGTAAGTCAGCAATATATACACTCACCGACCACTTTATTAGGTACACCTTACTAGTACTGGGTTGGACTCACTTCAGAACTGCCTCCTTCGTAACATAGATTCAACAAGATACTGGAAATATTCCTCAGAGATTTTGGTCTGTATTGACATGATAGCATCACTCAGTTTTGCAGATTTGTCGGCTGCACATCCATGATGTGAATCTCCCGTTCCACCATATCACAAAAGTCCTCTATTGGATTGAGATCTGGTGACTGTGGAGACCATTTGAGTACAGTGAACTAATTGTCATGTTCAAGAAACCAGTCTGAGATGATTCGAGCTTTGTGACATGGCATATTGTCCTGAAGGAAGTACAGTATCTATCAGAAGATGGCTTGTAACGAGTGGTTATTTGAGTTACTGTTGCCTTTTCTATCAGCTGGAACCAGTCTGGCCATTCTCATCTGACCTCTGGCATCAACAAGGCATTTGCACTCATAGAACTGCCGCTGACTGGATATTTCCTCTTTTTCAGACAATTCTCTGTAAACCCTAGAGATGGTTGTGCGTGAAAATTCCAGTATATCAGCAGTTTCTGAAATACTCAGACCAGCCTGTCTAGAACCAACAACCATGCCACGTTCAAAATCACATTTCTTCCCCATTCTGATGCTCAGTTTTTATCGCAGCAGATCATCTTCACCCTGTCTACATCCTTATATACATTGAGTTGCTGCCATGTTATTGGCTGATCAGAAATTTGCATTAACGAGCAGTTGGACAGGTGTACTTAATAAAGTGGCCGGTGAGTGTAAAAGTTTTTAGATATTTTGATGAAATAAATCATACATATAGGGTTTTAAATATGTACAGCCACTTTGAAACATCAATAATAATATTTCTAAAGAGTTTATAAATAAATAGCAGAATCAAATATTCAACATTCAGTCATTTTTATTATAGTCAATTTTGTCAGCGAATAATAAATTATTTACAATTGTCTTTCACATAGCATAAATTAAACCATGAGAGAGAGAGAGAGAGAGAGAGAGAGAGAGAGAGGGAGAGAGAGAACATAAGAGAAAGGAGGAGGCTGAGAGAGATGTACAGATCATGAGGTGTTTTTGGAGCCTCATTTTGATGAGGGTTTGGCTCATGCTGGTTTCTGCTGTTCAGTAAACTCATTTATTATCATTATCATGGATGGGTGAAGAAAGCCAATGCACCAGCCAGAGGAGGAGAGAGGAGTCAAATCACCATAACAAGTCTTCAACACTGTGCAGAAATCAAAATCAAATCAAAATCAAGACACATCTCAGGACGTATACAGCATGTCAGTAAAGGTAAAATACAATAACTGTGATATAAGATCAACTGAGATATTCCAGTCAGTGCTCACCGAGGCCGGATGTCCTGTTCATCATCGCCAAACAGCAGTTCAGCCACAGCGGCTTCAGGGGTGGATCGCTTCCCATATCTGAAGGAGAAGATGATGATGATGAATAATTTATGCACGATTTGAGCTTCACACTTTGACATTTACAACTGTAGCATAAATGATGTGTATTTAGCATTGGAAGTTAATATAGTTGCTGCGCAAGACTTGTGAATGTGTGCAATATACTGACACTGATGAGAAGAAACTGATGAATAAATTAGTTATTTTTGTTTTATACGCACACAAAAGTACTCTTGTCGCCTGAAAATATTCCAATAAAACAACTGAAGCTGCATTTGATCTGTTTTAGGGATGTTTTAATAAAGACGTTCATTCATTTTCTTTTCGGCTTAGTCCCTTTATCAATCAGGAGTCGTCACAGCGAAATGAACTGCCAACCTATCCAGCATATGTTTTACGCAGCGGATGCCCTTCCAGCCTGCAACCCAACACCGGGAAACACCCATACACTCTTACACACACACACACACACACACACACACATACACACATACACACATACACACACACACTATGGCCAAATTAGGTTATTCAGTTCACCTATAGCCCGTGTCTTTGGACTGTGGGGGAAACCAGAGCACCCGGCAAAAACCCACGGCAAAACAGGGAGAACATGCAAACTCCACACGGAAATGCCAACTGACCCAGCCGAGGAGAAAGAAAGTAAATATATATATATAGAACCATTGGAGTGTGAGGAAATAGTAATTATCATATTTGGGTGAACTAGTCCTTTATGATTTAATGAGTTAGTTCACTCAAAAATGAAAAATTCATCAATATTTCCTCACACTTAAGTTGTTCTAAATTTGTATTTTTTCTTTCTTCTGTTAAACAAAAAAAAGGATATGCTGAAGAATGTTGGGAAAAAGCAGCCATTGACATCCATCGTACAGCAGGAACATGAAATACTATGAAAGTCAGAAGATTTCTCCAACATTTTCCCTATTAGCATCCACAACAACAACAAATACATTCGTTTATTCTAATTGCAGGCTGCAGTTTTACATCTTCAAGCATTATTATTTCTGATTGGCTAATAATGCTTTTGTTGATCAACTTTAAAAAAAAAAAATCTTAAACTGATATTTTTCCTTTTTGCCATAATTGTTATAGTTGTGGTGTGATCTCTGTTGTCCTTACATATTTAAGATATGGATAAAGATTTGCAGAACTGTGTCTATTATTATTATATTTAAGTATAATTTCTATTATATTTAAGCATTAATAAAAGCAAAATCTGACTAATATGCTTCTTATCTTTTTAAGCAGGCTTTTCTTTAACAATTTTTTATCATGTTTTTTATTATGTTCTTTTATATTCGCTAATGTGTTTTACCCTGTTTGGTCAATGATTGTTTTAGTAATATTTAGTTTGTTTTAGCATGGCTGTTGATGCTTATTGTAAGGCGACCTTGGGTAAAGGCGCCATTTACAAATAAAAATGAATTAGAACTGTGTCTATTAGGCATGGGTGATACCAATGTTTTTGTTTCCGATCCGATGGCAAGTATTTCAAGACAAGTATCATTGATACCGATATCGATACAATACCAATACTAAGGCTAAATGAAATATTTTATAGTGATTTTTAAAAATGATTATCACCTTTATAATTATAATTAATATTAATAAATAAAACACAAGACACATGATTACATTTATTAAAACTACAGAACTATAATTGACAAAATAGCACCACATATAATGAAAAACAAAACACTGCACAAACCTTGTTTAATTAAAAAAATAAAATAGTAAACTCTCTCCCATGCTTCTTGCAATAGTTGATGCTCTTTGGGAGTCATCTAAGAAATATAATATATATTCTTAAAGCTGCGTTACAGGCATATAAAAATATATATTAGTACATCTCTCAATTGTTACATGTACCTAAACTTTGTATTTTATTTGATAAACAAGTTTATTAAAAACTATTTATACTAAACTACAAAAATATTTTAATCAGGTAAAATAACTCCAGATTATACTTTGTGTACATACAGTCATGATGACCACAGATCCGCTATCGAGTTTTACAACCTGCGCTGGGTGTGTGTGGTGTCTGTACTACTGTGCTCTGAGCTAACACTGACCTATTAGCGGAGATACAGTGGAAGAATATTATAGTTCCCATTCGTGTTCCTATTTAAATAAATATTTATAAAATATGGGACGCTATAACTATTGAGACAATCTAAAATCTCTGATCACTCAGTAAGAACACCAGCCCCCCCCCCCGAAAGGATTGATACTTTTACTTAAGGATCTAACCCTTTTGATACTTTCCTAGTATCGAAAATATCGATACTTCAGGATCGATCCGCCCATCCCTAGTGTCTATTGTTATAGTTTATGTCCTCAGTAAAGGGGCTTTTAGACCTGCACAATTCTGGATAAACAATAAATCCTGATTTTTGTGTATAACAGAGATTAAAATTCGCGAATGATTCTGAATAAACAACTGCCATAAGTAGCATGTTGTTTACTAGATGCAATTTCTGCAAAATATTGAATTAATTTGACTAAATAGTTTTTAGGAAAAAATTTGATAAAATTATTTCAAGAATGGACGAGGCAGTGGCGCAGTAGGTAGTGCTGTCGCCTCACAGCAAGAAGGTCGCTGAGTTTGTATGCTCTCCCAGTGTTCGCGTGGGTTTCCTCCAGGTGCTCTGGTTTCCCCCATAGTCCAAAGACATACTGTACAGGTGAATTGGGTAGGCTAAATTGTCCGTATTGTATGAGTGTGTCTGTGAATGTGTGGATGTTTCCCAGAGATGGGTTGTGGCTGGAAAGGCATCTGCTGCGTTAAAAAAACGTGCTGGATAAGTTGTCAGTTCATTCCGCTGTGGCGACCCCGGATTAATAAAGGGACTAAGCTGACAAGAAAATGAATGAATGAATGATAAATGACTTAAAGTATCACTGATGAATGAAGCAGCATTTTAGAATGAATCTATTGAAAGACTTGTTCGTTAACATCGTTTTTAGAGTTTTTAAAAGGCACAATGATGTTAGACAACTGAATTATTTAGTAATACGATTGCAGAGGTCTTTGAATCAATTCTTTTATATTTTGTTGTGCCATGAAGCTTTATTTTATAACAGGGGTATTACATGTAAAACTTTGTCACATTAAATATGATGTTACAATTATTAACTTAATAAATATCAACATTAATATTAACAACTGAAATTAACTCAAATAAAATCAATTAATTAAGTAAAATGTTAGCTATAAAAAAGAAAAACTAATGAAAATGACAAAATCTTTAAGTAAAATGACATAAAAACAGAACATACGTAGTAAAAACTAATTCAAACTGTTAATAAAATCTACAATACTTGTTCCTGAAACAAAAACAAAAAAAATGTTAACTGGAATAAAATTAAATACATAGAACAAAACAAAAGAATTTTAACAATTATATAAAAATATTATATATATTAATTAATAAAATTAAATAATTAAATGACAGGCTGGGTTACTTGGCATTTCTGTGAGGAGTTTGCATGATCTGCCTGTGTTTGCGTGGGTTTCCTCTGGGTGCTCCGGTTTCCCCCACAAGTCCAAAGACATGCAATGTAGGTGAACTGAATAAATTAAATTGGCCGTGGTATATGTGTGTGAATGTGAGAGTGTATGGGTGTTTCCCAGTACTGGGTTGCAGCTGGAAGAGCATCTGCTGTGAAAACATGTGCTGGATAACTTGGCAGTTCATTCCGCTGTGGTGACCCCTGATTAATAAGTTAACTAAAGCTGAAGGAAAATGAATGAATGAATGAATTTAAATGACTAATGCCTCTAAATAGAGACTACAATATCATTCAACTTGACCAATCCATCTGAAAGTGTGTGAGCTTCCAGATAAATGTAAATTGATTCAGAAAAATAAGGAAATTTACAAAAAACAAGCAAAAAAGAACCGAAATAACCCATAAGCGTCACTTAATTGCTGCCTTTTAAGGTTAAAGTTGTTGCAGAAAATATCAGGGTACATCTCCAGCACACTTCATCAGAAACGTAACCAGACATGTTAATCCCACTTAATAACAATCTATCTTAACGCACAGCACAATAATAAGGGGTTGTGTACAGGTTGAAGGATATCTGGCAACCCAGCCCACCCCTTGCACTTGTGTGAGTGTTGTTCAGATAAAAACATAGCAACGCACTCTTTGAGAAAACCCATTAACAAAAAAAAAGAGAGAGGTTTTGTTTAAACTGCAAAGTAGATGCAGTTTATATGCCTGTTTTACTCACTGAGACTAAATCCGTTCAATTGAAAAAGTGTAGTGCTGTAAATATATGGTATACACTGTTCCTCAACGCTGCTTTACAAACTGCTTTTTTTGCCATCTATTTCTGCAATTTATTTTAGTAAGTTAATCTAAATATACAGTTGAAGTCAGAATTATTAGCTCCACTGAATTATTAGCCCCCCTGTTTATTTTTTCCCCAGTTTCTGTTTAACGGAGAGAAGATTTTTTCAACTCATTTTTAAACATAATAGTTTTAATAACTTATTTCTAATAACTGATTTATTTTATCTTTGCCATGATGTAAATAAATAAATAATATTTGACTATATATTTTTCAGACACTTCTTAGGCAAGTTATTGTATGATGGTGGTTTGTTCTGAAGACTATTAAAAAGATTTTAGCTTCAGGGGGCTAATAATATTGACCATAAAATTAATTTTAAAAAATTAAAAAACTGCTTTTATTCTAGCCGAAATAAAACAAATAAGACTTTCTCCAGAAGAAAAAATATTATCAGACATACCGTGAAAATTTTTCTTGTGTGTGTGTGTGTATATATATATATATATACACACACAACAGGTTTGTCTGGTTCTTGAATCTGATTGGCTGGTAGCCGTGCGATATTTCGCCAGTAATGTCATCAGTCTGCCGTCTGCAGTCTGCTGTCAGTCTGCCATACAACCAGCAACATAGAGACGCTACAGTTTGACAAATTATAACTGTTGTTAGACAACAAAATGTACTTTTGAGGCTTTTTTAGTCGAGAATGTAGCTGTTTAGATTGCAACTATGCAGTTTATTTGTAAGAATAGTGCCTATTTTAAAATATTTACTATTTCTTAGAGAGCTGGTCGGCGACGGTTGACGTTTTCTATCCACAAGATGGCGACAAAACCACATAATAAGCCCTTACGCTTAGAAGATATAACAGTCAGATTTCTAACTACAGCAGATCATACCAGTATTAAACTAGTAAGCAATACCTGCCAACACTTCCGTTTTTCATAGGAGTATCCCGTATTTCAGACCTGTCTCCTGCAACCATCCCGTTTTTATTTCTTCCTCACCCCCGAAAACCCCCCTCCCCCGGTCTCCCGGATTTTCTGAGACATGTTAGCAGGTATATTTGATATTATAAGTCGATCTCTCTCTTTTGTATGTTGTAGTGCTGTATTTATACTGATTTGCTCGAATATCAGGAATGTGTGTTGTGTTGGCAGATTGAAATAGGCAAAGGCCGCTTGTGTTAAGCGTTTTTCCTTATCGCAAACACAACAGCATGTTGGTAGTGAATTCGTTGTTATTTTCGGAGTTAATTATTGTGAAATCCTGATTGCACTAGAGAAATACTGTAGACTGTAACACTGTAAGAAGAGATCTCTGTAGATGGATGGCCTTTCATGTCACATTCAGCCTCAAAATCTTAAAGAGATCACATTAGACATAAAGAGTCATTCAAACACTAGCTCTAAAGTGATGTTGGTGAATTAGTAACGCCATCTGCTGTACTGACATCAGCTGCAGATGTGAATGAATGGCGGAAGAAAGTAGTTCCTAATAAAACAGGGTTTTTAGACTCTCCTTGTTTGATTTTAATATTTATATACACGATTGTGCCGTTGAACTGTTGTATAAATGCAATATCACACGAGTAGCTTTGCGATATGGCTGTATATCAGCACTGGTGGGACGCCATATCGCACTGCTGCTATTGCTCATATGTATATATATTCCAGCTGGCACTAGCAGAATGTTTTTAACATATAGTTTTAGTTTTAGATGGTGTCCTGTAAGTACTCTTGAGTATCATGTAAATATCAAGTACTATAGTATTGACTACTTACAATTAATAGCATGTCTCTATATATAGAACTTTTACATTTACATTTAGTCATTTAGCAGACGCTTTTATCCAAAGCGACTTACAAATGAGGACAAGGAAGCAATTTACACAACCAAGAGCAACAATGAATAAGTGCTATAGGCAAGTTTCAGGTCTGTAAAGTCTAAGAAGGGAAGTATTAGTATTAGTATTAGTATTTTTTTTTTTTTTTTTGGTACAGTTAGTGTGATATTCAGAGAGGCAATTGCAGATTAGGAAGTGAAGTGGAGACTAAATAGTTGGGTTTTTAGTCGTTTCTTAAGAGTAGCGAGTGACTGTTCTGATGCAGTTAGGGAGTTCATTCCACCAACTGGGCAGATTGAGCTTGAGCGTTCGCGAAAGTGATTTCTTCCCTCTTTGGGATGGAACCACGAGGCGACGTTCATTCACAGAACGCAAGTTTCTGGAGGGCACATAGATCTGCAGAAGCGAGAGCAGATAAGAAGGAGCAAGGCCAGAAGTCACTTTGTAGGCAAACATCAGAGCTTTGAATTTGATGCGAGCAGCAACTGGCAGCCAGTGCAAACGGAGTAGCAGCGGAGTGACATGTGCTCGTTTAGGTTCATTGAAGACCACTCGTGCTGCTGCATTCTGGAGCAGTTGAAGAGGCTTGATAGAGTTAGCTGGAAGCCCAGCTAGTAGAGAGTTGCAGTAATCCAGTTTGGAGAGAACAAGAGCTTGAACAAGGAGTTGAGCTGCATGTTCAGATAAGAAGGGTCGGATCTTTCTGATGTTATAGAGTGCGAATCTGCACGATTGAGCAGTTCTAGAAATGTGGTCAGAGAAGTTTAGTTGGTCATCAATTGTTACTCTTTTAAATGAAGCTATAGACATGTTGGGGGAAATTCAGACAAATGCGCAAATACAGGCTCAAATAACAACCGTTTGACTGGAAAATAGGACATGATGTCATTTTGATGTAAGCAAGAGGGAGAAAACAGAGAATTAGAAGTGGATCCATTAATAAAAGCTTCATGTTCTCCATTATCATCTGGAAATCTTTGCAGGGCCATTAGCTGTTTTCTGCTGTTTTTTCCACAGAATCATATTTCAAGAAGTATTTAAAGTTAGGCAATCCCTACAATAGGCTTTAATCGTGAAATATACACACACATTCACAAATATTGTGTATAAACTGTAAATTCGTTCTTACATACAGTTGAAGTCAGAATTATTAGCCAACCTGTATATTTTCCCTAATGTCTTGATTTTTTTTCAACAAATTTCTAAACATAAAAGTTTAAATAACTCATCTTTAATCACTGATTTCTTTTACCTTTGCCATGATAACGGTACATAATATATATAAAAACTTTTATTGTAGCCGAAACAAAAAAAAGTAAGACTTTCTCCTGAAGAAAAACTATTATAGGAAATACTGAATACTAAATTCCTTGCTCTGTAAAACATCATTTGGAAAATATTTTGACTTCATCTGTATGTTAAGATAATAAGTTCAGTTACAATTTACACTGAATTTTATTGTGTTTTACCAATTCTGATTATCTTAAACAACAATAAAAATAACTTTTTCACAATTTGCAAAATAATAAAACACAAACAAACACTTTTAATTCATTATTTAATTTATAAATAAACTAATACATGTTCAGTGCTAACTGGTGTTTATTCATAACAGTGTAACTAATGTGTATTTATAATATAACTTTAGATGCTTGATAAAAAATATATGCCAACAAATTTGTTCTTTTACATTAACAAAGGCACCATTACATTAAGCTAAACATCAACAATATATAATTCGTCTCCAAGTTGTGCAATACTGCTTAAAGATTCAGTTTCAGAAATTGGTAATACATTTTAAAAGTGATTATACCTAAACGAGAGTACAGTGAATGCTTAAGTCATTGTTGGTTCATTGTGACTAATGTACAACACATGAAACACATATTGCATATTTTAGCTATTAATGAAAGTTGTTATTAAATAATAATGGCTAACCAGTGCTACCATTAGCTACTATAATGTTTCTGCAATATTCTGCACTGTTCATTTTTTCCAGTTGTTCTCAAAATTCACAATTTAGTGTTACTTCTCATTTCTTTGCAACTGTTTAGACATAAAAATATTTTTATGTGAAAATTGTTTATACATTTTGTGAGTGTGATTGTTTAAGCTCACCTCTGTCGTGTGATGAGGTTGATGTAGTGTCTTAGAGCGGTGTGGTACTTGGCCATCTCCTCCGGACCCACGTCTCCCGCTGGAGGTTCAGGTTTGGGTGGATACGCTTCAGCCAGGCTGCTGAGACACACTATAACGCACAGAGCAAGAGCCAGCGGCACAGTCCAGGATCTCAGTGCACTCGCCATCTGACACAAACATAGAAGAACACTTTCACTTAGAGCACAGAAACTGTTTAAAACACACCACTCTTTCTCAGACCTAACTCAACAGTTTAATTAAGTACACACAACACATGAATACATATAGAAATGGAGCTATCCCTGGTGCTGATATGTCATCATACTCATCAAGATATTAAGTTTACTTCACTAAGGTTTTATAAGGAAGTCAACTGTTCCCTATATGAAGAAATGAAACACATTAACCCCATTTTGACAGTATGACTGCTCTTCTGTGAAGATTCACATCACCTGAACCTCAGCACAAACAATCCAGCATCCCTTGCCCTAGACCCAGTTAGTTTTATATGGTTATTTTTATGTAAATTTATTATTCGTTATTACAATTATTACTTTAATTTTTTTATCTTGTATCTCCATTTTTGGTCTAACTAAATATTTTTCTTATTTTCCTATATTTTTTTGTTTTGTATTTTATTCTTTTTTTTTTTTTAATTAACAGACCAAAAAAATGAAATTTTCACAGTATTTCCTTGAATATATTTTTTGCCTTCTGGAGAAAGTCTTCTTTCTTTTACTTTGACTGGAATAAATGCAGTTAGATGTTTTCAAAACTATTTTAAGGTCAAAATTATTTTAGTTTATTTTATTATTTAAAAGCAATATCACACGAGTAGCTGTGCAATATTAAATAAATATATTAAATATATAAATGAAAATAAATAGTTAAGAGTTAATAGTATAATGAGTTAAAACTTTTTAATTGCTCTTTAATCTGAATATCTTGTGAAATAAGGGTTTTTTTCTGCACTGTCACTATAGCAAAGAAAAATGAAATTCGTTTTTAAAAATAAGTTATGATACAAGTTATAATATTATACACAATTTACACAGTTGAAGTCTGAAGTATTAACCCTCCTGAATTATTAGCCCCAGTTTATTTTTTCCCCTCAATTTCTGTTTAAGGGAGAGAAGATTTTTTCAGCACATTTCTAAACATAATAGTTTTAATAACTCATTTCTAATAACTGATTTATTTTATCTTTGCCATGATGACAGTAAATAATATCTGACTAGATATTCTTCAAGACACTTCTATACAGCTTGAAGTGACATTTAAAAGTTTAACTAGGTTAAATAAGTTAACTAGGCAGGTTAGGGTAATTAGGCAAGTTATTGAATTACGATGGTTTGTTCTGTAGACTATCGAGAAAATAATATAGCTAAAAGAGGCTAATGATTTTGACCTTAAAATGGCTTTTAAAAAAATAAAAACTGCTTTTATTCGAGCCACAATAAAACAATTAAGACTTTCTCCAGAAGAAAAAATATTATCAGTCATATTGTAAAAATTTCCTAGCTCTGTTAAACACAATTTAGGAAATAAAAAAATTCATATGGGGTTTAATAATTCTGATTTCATCTGTATATGAATTATTTTCTTTAACAAACTCAACTTATTTTCTCATGTTTACTGTTAAACCTGCTGAATGTTTTCTGCCTTCGTTAATAAGCAAATTAATAAAAAAGTTGTTAATAATGAACATGTGAAGGAATCAGAATGCTACTTACTTCGCAGTTGATGTCGGAGCCCTGAAGGATTGGCTGGAGCTGCTGTTGGTGGTTGGTGTTGATCTGCTTTTCTCGCTGCAGACCATGATGCTTTTATAGCTCCTGAGTGGCCGGAGGGAGGTCCAAACCCCACCCAGCACTTACACACAACCGAAGTGTTAATGATGAACTAATGAGTCACCGGCACAAGTCATTCAAGCCTATGATCTCAATGTCTGCGATGCTCTGTACATTAACACACCGCTGTATAATAATGCGAGAGATATGGAATGAAATGGAGCGAATTAAGAGTCATTTGAAGCCGGGTAATTCAGGACACAAGTGCAGCTAATAGGTTTTTCTCCTGCTTATCTCAACAGTTGATGATGAGCAGTTTAAATGGTTGAAATGAAAAATGCAGACTGATTTTGAACATTCAAACCGCACAGTTTCTTTATGTAATTTGCTGTTATAAGTAAATAAACACAGCAGAATATATTTGGCAAAAAAAATTTAAATTTACTCCTTTAACATGCATGTTTGCTTAAATTTATTATAAATATGGTTATATGGTCAGTAAATTTGATGCCATTGCCATGGAGGTAAATATTAGGTAAATAGCATGGAAATGCATCTATTGGCCCTGGAAAATACACCATATTCTGTTAAACAGTGGTAAATAAAGCAGATTATAGGAGTATATTTAAAAAACAAAAATTCCCCCTCACAAAAACTGTTTAACTTTGTTTATTTAAATTAGTGTATTGTAATGTTATTTACAATTTCTTTGTATTTTAATAAGTGAAATACTATCCGTATACTTATCATACTATCAGTTTCTGTTGAAAATGTTTCAGAAGTAAATTATGGGTCCCCTTTTAAGCACACCTGTCAACCCCCTTGTTTTTCCTGGGATTCTACCGTATTTTACAGTTCTATCCTGCTATCATCCCGTAAAGGTATCCCGTATTTTCAGTCTTTCTCTGAAGGGTGGCAAACAAGCCGAGCCTCCCTATACGCAACCCATACCGCCGAACCACCAGGGGCCGCCCCTTGCTCTTAAATGTAAGTCTGTTCTGTGCTTTCGCTTTGTTTAGTGATGAAAACACTTTGAAATAAATATAAAAACGGCGGGATTCCCTTTCCTTTTCATTACAGGTGTCGTCTCCCCTTTATATGCAATCTGTCACGGAACAGAATCAAAAGAGAGGTTTGTGCAGTTCAACTCTGTCTTTTAATAGTGACATTCAACAAAGGCAGTCTGTCGTTAATTCAGAGGAAATAAACACAGATCTGGATCTTCAAAATCAAAACTCAAAAGGGGCCACCCACGGCTGGGAGCGAGAGAGAGGGAGAGACGATCTGTCCGTGCCCACCACTGCGATGCGGGAACCTCTGACCTCCGGTTGCTGATGGTCAGAGCACAGTCAACAGTTGAGCAACAAGCTGCGGCAATCTTAACATGCAACAATGAACACAGGAGGGTGATTAACAAGATTTGACGAGACGAGACAAATGATGATTTGATCTGATATTTGTGGAAGACAAAATACACGGAGAGCAAACGCACAGAGCAGCCGCTGATCAGCGCTCGCGCTGATTGCAAGCGCTGACAGCTGGTAGGAGAACACAGAGGGGAAAAGGTTGACAATCAACAAACCAGATTCATGACACAATCCTCAAAACAGTCTAATGCAGGGGTGGCCAACCCTGTTCCTGGAGAGCCACCTTCCTGCAGATTTCAGTTGCAACCCATATCAAACACACCTGAACCAATTATCTAGGACCTGAACCCCACGTGAAAATTACAGCCAGGTGAGTTTGATATGGGCAGCAACTGAAATCTGCAGGAAGGTGCTCTCCAGGAACAGGGTTGGCCACCCCTGGTCTATAGCGATGCATGACTGTCAGCTGACGCGCTCCATAGTGATAAATAGACGCTGTTTCCTGTACAGATTCTGTACTCGTGATTTGAAGTGGAGAAAATGTCTGGGTGTTGGGTGCGTGTTTAAACAGATACACACAACTAATAATAATAATATCTAAAGATGTCGATCTTGGTTGGGTTTTCTTTTTTCAAACAACTAATTTCGTCCTAAATGAGCATAAAAAGTTAGGAAAGCGGTCGAATGCTTTCATTATAACATTGGATGTGCGCATTTTTCAAAGTGACACCTCTGTTATTTAATGTAATCCAGCGCAAAAAATCCAAATAAATGAGAGATTCATTGGTTGCTCTATAATCAGAATATCCAAGTTATACAGTGAAGAAACGGCTAATAAGATCTGATAGCTTGATTCTTTTTCATTATAATAGCTATTCATTTTGATAAGCTGAACTGTTTGCTATTTTATTTGCTGCTAATGTATGTATATATATATAATAATAATAATATATATATAATAATCAGGGCTGGAGTGGGACTCTTTTTCAGCCCTGGAGTTTCAAGCCTTAGACTGGCCCACCTCAGTTCACCACTGACTATATTAAAATAAGGTCATTTCTAATTCAGTTTCTAATTACACTATCACGCCTTTTTTTTTTTTTTTTTTTGAGAAAACAGCTGCTTCAGAACTTCAAATGTTCAACAACCCTTACAGTATTATATGTCTTAACAATAAAAATGAAGAAAAAAAAAAAAAGTTACTCAGACGAGGACCGAAGCCAGGTTGGCGGCGCCATAACCTAACATGCTAATCACTGTACCACAACAGCTGTATATTGAAATGTGACTTATCTAGTTATATCATCATTAACCTGCAGGCTGCATCGTCACGAGGCTACGAGAAAATAGATAAAAAGAGCAGAGCTGTGGTAAAATAATGAATAAGAAGGCTGTGGTCAAGTAAATAAATAAAATATTTTTAAAAAGTGTGACTGCTGAGAGCGACAGATTCTGGAGCTAGGGACACCGGCCCTCGCGGCCAAAAAACGGACCGGCACACCAGGAATTCTCCCGGTCCTCCCGATTAGCCAATCCAGGCCTGATAATAATAATAATAAAACATATTACTGACCAATTATCTGTTTATTTACATCGAAACAGTCAGCCAAGTGAGCGTATTCAGTAATTTGGGGACTTTTTAAAGGGGCATACATGCCTTATTTTTACATCCCAATGTTGACAGGCATGCTTTTAAGGGATAATTGGTCCCACATTATATTAAGTGTTGCTTATACCTATGAACTTACACGGTAACTAGATGTGTAAGTAGTATGTGAATACAGTGTATGTGTAATGGTGATGCTAGAGGCCGTGGTCTTTAGACTCCTTGCTAAAGCAACCAACTCCCATGCGGAAGGTCGCAGGTTCGAAACCAGCTTGGACACAGAGTACACATAAAAGTACACATCTGTAAGAAGAATTACACAAGTGGATTGTGTAACAACAATATGTGCAGGTATTCTCCCACTTCCACACCAGTTTGCATACCTTGTACTTCTGAACACTGTATTGGAATAAGAATGGCAGAACTAACACTGCATTAGCAGGTTTCCCCTTGTGATTCCAGTGTAATTACAGGGTAAATCATCAGGAATTGTCCACTTAACATAAAGTGTAAAATGGTCAAAAATTACTGTGTAATATATATATATATATATAACCTATGCCTTTGTGCAACTGTTTAACAACAGCAAACTTTTGGCAAAAAAGTATAAGTGTATATAGAAATACACAAATGCCTTATGTTGTTTTAAGGTAAACTGTTGAATCACATCAGTAATTCACATTAAAAGGGAAGTTTATCAAAGGTTGTGTCATTAATCTCCTGTTACACATTTGAACTTGCACATATTATTGTGTTGTTACATGTGTGTAGTTACACCAGTGTTACACAAGTAAATACTATGTACCAATGTGTACATACACCGTAGTTACATACTACACATCTAGTTACCATGCAAGTTCACATGTATAAGCGACACAATATGGTGGGACCAGATAATTTGTACATTAAAAATGTTTAAAGGAGATGCATTGTCATTTTCTTGCAAGAACACAGAGTCTAAATAGAATGATGGCATTTGAAGCAAGAGACGATGATTTTTACAATAAAGTAGGCTATTTTTAATATCACTTCAATATGGAGATTTATAAGATTAAAACCCATATATGTGGTAAAATACACAATGTTTGGTGGCTTGTTGGCCTTTTAATTTGCCATATTATTATAATTGTCGTTCTTGGTGTGAACATGATGCTTTTTAGATAAATATAGAGAAACATTTTACTAGACAACACGTTTCCTGGAGCTTCCCAGCAGCAATTTACTTACAAAATTAATTTTCTGTTGTGTCATAAGAATTATTAACACCAATCTGTAAAACACAACCCTAAAAAGGTGGTTTCGCTTTCATGAAGTTATACTTAGCTACGTATTTTAATTAAAGTTGAAAGTACTGCTGGATAACAGTAAAAGGTTTGCGTAAATCCACCAGAGGGCGCAGCTGAGTGACCTTGAATTGATCTTTTTTATTTAGTTCTCTACATCTTTAATATATTTCAAGCCAGTGTGCTCAAAACAGGCACGTAGCCAGCCTGATGAAAAGAGTGGCTCTTTTTTCTCAAAAAGTGGAGCTTTTTGCAGTTTTTCGCCTTATGTTATATAAGGTTTAAATACTGCATTTTAGTGAAATTTTAAGCACTATTTTAGCTGGATTACCTTGTAGGATGGTCATAATAAAGAGGAATGGGCAAAAAAAAAAAAAAAAAAAAAAAATATATATATATATATATATATATATATATATATATATATATATATATATATATATATATATATATATTTTTTTTTTTTTTTTTTTTTTTTTTTTTTTTTTTAAGAACAAAAAACTACATTTTACGTGTATCAAAATAAACTACAAAATACAGCAGCCACATGTATCAAAATAAAATACTGTATTTTGAAAATACTACAAAATACTTTTACAAGCGAGCATGACATTTCTTTGTAAATTGTCAATATGCATATTCGATGAGTCCCTTCACCATTAAACTGACTTAGTAAAGTAACAATGACTGATGACAACAGTGTTTCTCTGAGCAAGTTTAAGTTAGAGTTGTTAAGCCAGAGCTTCTCTTCC